TAAGTCTAGACTTTGTCTTGTTGTACAGGGTACAATTGTCTTATATTTTTAAAAGATAGGTTTTCCATGATACGAGCCCCTATCAACATTAGTGTAATACGTATTTGTCCTTTACAAACCTTCTTGAATTATGTTAAAACAAATTTACTTCGTCACATCAATTTTGTGACTTATATAACCTTCAATTTTGTTTCAATGTTATTTCAATTTAAATGTGTGCAAAGTATATGTTAAATGCAATTATTGCAAAAAAAAAAAAAAAAACTTATTTGATCATGGTAGAAAAAAAAAGATTAATCCTGTCAAAATACATATGAAAGCTGTAAAATTTTAGGATAAAATAGGCGGTAAATGAGATATCGAATGACTGATAGTTCGATGACTTATTTTAGTTTTGCGTATTTAAAAACAACACAACCAAATGACAACGGGAGCATTGTTTTAAGACAATTTATAAATCATAAAGAAATGATAATTATGTGTGCCTTATTATATTGATGGATATTGATACTAGCGGTGGTCTTCTATTGATCTTTTCGGACCAGATCTTTCTGTAAAAGGTGATAATTGTCACACTTAACTGCTGATAAACCCCGTTGATCGGAGGAAGGGCGACATCTCGTCGATGGAATGATATTATCTATCGATTTTGTTTGATTTCATTGGTAAATTGTGTGTCAATTATGACACGTGACTCACTGGTTCTTTGTTTGTAATTTTTAACTTTCTTTCTCACACACAAGAAAGTTTTTGCAGAGGGCGCTTCATGAAGCACACGGAGTTCAACATCTCGTGACTGGACTTAACGGATAAGGAAAACAAATATAACAAATATTCGTCAATAGATTTAACGTTTAAATATGTGTACTAGCCGATTCTTTAATAAAAAAAAAATTCTCTCAAGATGTGTTTTGTGTCAAATATTATGTGGCAACTAAAATACCGATGAAGGAATATTTCTAGACTATTTCAGAAACTTGGACTTTTTATAAAAACTTGATAAATCGCTCGATAACCTTCCGAATGCTACCGATTTTAAATTTGATACTGAGGCCGCATATCTAGTATTGTATAGGCTTAATTTGTATATGTGTATTATTTCTACCAGTAACCAGAGACATATATATATATATATATATAGTATATATGTCTCTGCAGTAACATATAATACATATTGTAGTATATGTCTCTTTTTAAAAAAAATAAATTCTATATTTTTATCACAGAGTGAATTATGACTCGTGCAATTCCAGAAGTTTCAAAGAAATACTCAAAGGAAACGATCATTTTATGCTATGCGAATGAACCATCATAACTTCCCGAGAATAGAAGATTTTGATGGATAAAGAAATTCACGCAGTACATCAAACAGAGAAGAGATCAAGAACCGATTTTGTAGGCCCGATTTTTTTTTATTAAAACGAAATTATTAAAATACATGTATAATAAATGATATTACCAATATGCCAAAACAAATCCCAAAGCAGCTATATTTGTCATATCATAGCATGACAAGAAAAGCTATGGCAATATTTGTCCATATAATCTGCACCTTTCAAATATATCAGCAAATTAAAAGCAAATATAACTATTTACCATACATTTCTAGCTGTCTTAAATATCTTTCTTTATAATGTCTTTGCATACATACCCAAAGTTACATATGCCCAATATATTTACACATACATTTCTAGCTGTCTGAAATATCTTTCTTTATCATTTCTTTGCATATGTATTCAAAGTTACATATGCCCAATATATATTTACACATGTCATTGATATTATCATTTGACCACATTTCTTAATTAAACAAATTGTCTGCAAATCTATGTATTTACCATACATTTAGGAATATGTTCAAAGGCTTTTGATATATTCTGATTTGACATACATTTCAGCCGACTATAAAGACTAACAAAAATATTCCTTTACAATACATTTGACAGGTCTCTGCAGATTAAAGGAAATGATGCTTTACACCCCTTTATAAAGTTCTTGTTTTGAATTGGTTTACATACCAGGCAAATGTAGATGCACCTTACACTTTATAACCCCTATAAAATTATTTGAATGATGATGCTTTGCTACCTAAACAAAGAAACACATTTGCGGATAAATTTACATCATAGAAAAATACATGACACAGATTTCCATTTGCAGAGGTATACAAATACATAAGTTTGCGAAAGTTTTGAGATGGTCATAAATATATGCAAATTCTAAACTTTAAAATGGTTTGATTAGGTGTTAATATATTTTTAAACCGCGGTCTCTCATAACCGCCCATAGGAGGGTATAGCACAAGAAATGTTGATATTTACTACATGTAAAGACAAGATAAACTAAATGCAGCGGTTTGTAAATATATGTAAATGTCGGTCTCTGAATACATTTACATAACATTTGCATACCTCTTCAAATCCGGGATTTCGTGTAGTGAAAAGAGTTACTAAACCATTTTAGAACACAGATATCTTTCAAACAACTTAATGGAATGTAATGGACTGGTAACTAATGTCATTGCAATTCTTAATATGTTCAATAGTTTAGTTAGTATAATGTTACTGCTTTAAAATTTATTGCTTATACAATGCTGCATAAGAAATTTATGTAGAGCTTCTAAATAACGTATTGCTTATGCAAACATAGAATAGCTTTCAGGGGCGGATCCAGGATTTCGGGGAGGCTCAAAGTTAAATTTTTTTTAGGTAAAATTATCGAAATATTCTTTATTAAGCTGAGGACAACCCATGCTTTGCAAATTTTAGGGGGGGGGGGGGGGGGCGCACGCCCGCCTGAATCCGCCCCTGGCTTTTTAATAACTATAGTTTCATGGAACTTTTGTTATGTGTTTTATATGGATGAATGCCTTGTGTGTGCTGTATAAAAAAAAATAACAAAAATACCGAACTCCAAGGAAAATTCAAAATGTAAGTCCCTCAACAAATGGTAAAATCAAAATCTCAAACGAATGGAAAACAACTGTCATATTTCTGACTTGGTACAGGCATTTCAATGTGTGTTTTATCTACTTTATTTTAATTGTATGACTTGTATGTGTTTCTTGTCAGTTATACAAGTTCTTAAGAGCTCATGTTTGAAAGTTTAAATTTACAGAATCTAATTAAAGCTTATTGTATTGTTTTGTTATTATGGAACCCTTCCACAGCACCTGAGAACCCAACTTATTTTTGGTGGGCTTCGTGTTGCTCATCTTTATTGTGTTTTGTGAACTGTTGTTTGTCAATTGGTCTTTTTCTTTTTTAGCCATGGCATTGTCAGTTTATTTTCGACTCATGAGTTTGAATGTCACTTTGGTATCTTTCACCTCTCTTTTAACTACTGTACATCATTAGGTAATGCAAGTGTGGAGTATTTCCCAGATACCTGTAAAATAAAACCTAGATCATAGAATTTACATAACCATATTAGAGGCAACACGAATGTGTCCATAGTAAACGGATGCCCCACTCGCACTATCATTTTTCTATGTTCAGTGGACCGCGAAATTGGGGTCAAAACTCTAATTTGGCATTAAAATTAGAAAGATCATATCAGATTGGACTTCAACTTCATCAAAAACGACCTTGACCAAAAACTTTAACCTGAAGTGGGACAGACGAACGAACAGATGGATGTTTTGCTGAGTGTGAAACCGCATTGCTATAAGACGTGTCACGGTACCTTTCTATCCCAAATTCATGTATTTAATTTTGATGTTATATTTGTTGTTCTCGTCGGATTTTGTCAAATGTCTTAACGTATTTTCTGTTATATTCGTGTGTTATGGTATAGATAATTAATCACCTCCTTCATTTATTAGATTTTAGTTTGGTTCAACGAAATTTATACGATATATTTGGTTTAGTTTGATTCAGAAGAAACACCGACATAGCTAGATAATACAATTAATTATCTAATTACTACCACAATTTGATATAAATAAGTATTGTAATTTTCATTGTTATTAATAAATGTAATGGTAGTATTACTAATCTAATCTTGAATCAATCCTAATCCTATCTTATTTTTGGGAAATATTTTTACAAATTCATATGTGACGTCACTTTGTGTGTTTTTTTAGAATTTCAAATGTGACGTCACTTTGTGCGTTGAGGCTTTAGCTAACTCGGCTGTGTATTTTATATGTTGGATTAAGTTGTTTTATGTAATGTATCCGTTTTTATTCTGTAGTTAGTCCCCACTTTGGTTTTATCATGTATATCTATTATATAGTCATTTTATAAAATTTACTGTTTGCAAAATTATAAATTATTCTAAATAATAAGGATGTTCTTGTCCCAGGCAGAAAATCCTGTCCGTGTTAGGCGCAACTTTTTGGAAGTTTTGGTCATCGGTGCTCTTCAGCTTTGTACTTGTTTTGGCTTTCAAACTTTTTTTATCTGAGCGTCACTGGTTGGTCTTGTGTGGACGAGACGCACGTCTGGCGTATTGAATTTTAAGCGTAGTACCTTCTGCTAGCTATTATTCGTGTGTTTCTTTGTCCTATATGTTCTCCCATTTATTTGTATTGTGGTCCTGTCATGTGATGTTGTCGTTTTGGTGTTGTGTTTGACGTTGCCATAAAAGCGGGAGGTTTGGCATGCCACAAAACCAGGTTCAACCCACCATTTTTTTCTTAAAATGTCCTGTACCAAGTCAGGAATATGGCCATTGTTATATTATAGTTCGTTTCTGTGTGTGTTACATTTTAATGTTGTGTTTTTGTTGTGTCGTTGTTCTCCTCTTATATTTGATGTGTTTCCCTCAGTTTTAGTTTGTAACCCGGATTTGTTTTTGTCTCTATTGATTTATGAGTTTCGAACAGCGGTATACTACTGTTGCCTTTATTTAACTACATAGTTATGATTACTATCCTTGTGCTGTTGGATACACATACTTCCTATAAATGTGTACCTAAAACTCTAAATAGCACATACAACAGAAAAAATGAACATGTCTATGATTTCAATACAAAGACATTAGATTAAAACTGTACACACAAAAGTAAATCATTTTATTGAAGCATTTATTGAAGTGATAGGTTTAACAATATAACTGAACAATTAAAATATCAAAACAAATAGTGTTCATACTCATACAATAGCCATCTTCTAGCAATTCTATACATCTTTTTAACTCTACACATGTAGAGCAGTTTAAATGCCTTGTTAAAGACAAAATGACCACAGCAATTTACACAATATGAAAATGTTCACTATGAAATTGGTGATATATTATGTAGAGGAATTCAATGTCTCGAAATAGAACCCATTCTGGATAATATTTTCAAGAGTGTCACATACATATAGTAATTGTAATTAGCTAACATCCTTTTAAACAAAGGTATTTCAGCTGATGTGAAATATTATTTTCATTTTTGTGTCACAATATTAAAGCTACCCCAAGTCCTTAAGCATATTACAATTATGAACTGGTGATTTTAAGGTATATGTAGATCTACTGTAGATTATTAGGTAATGCAACCAGCTAATGAAAACAACTGTTGGGTATTTCCTATACATGCTTATTGAAATAAAACAAGGTTTATAATAAGAAAAAGTATCTTTCTTTATTCTGATTATCTACATACAATCAAGTAGAAAAATTTAACTCATGATTTGAGTTTAATTAAATCCTATACAGTGCCAGTGGCGGATATATGATTTTTTTGAAAGGGGGTGAATTCAAGAAAAAATGGAATATTTACTGAAAAATATTTTTGATTTTATGCTAAAACATGATATATTTTCCATTTAAAAGGAGGGCAACCTTCTATGCTCCTAATATATCCACCAATGAGTGCTGTATCTATTATTCAGCGTATGGTAGAATTCATATTCATGGTTTATCAAAATCTCATAATTTAATTCTTGTCAGATGAATATCAAGATTGACTAAAAACAATAAATTTCTCTTTTAATCTTAAAGAATAAAGAATAAATCATTTCTTTATGACATTCTTTTTGGTATAGGTTTTGATAATTGTACATTTTACAATCTTTAAACAAAAATAAACAAAAAATGTAAGCTTGCTGTCAGAGATAATCTAACATATAAGTCTATTGAGCTGTACCTAAGTGCTTGTCCAATTTTATGCTTCTTTTCTTAAACTGATGTTAAAAGTAAAGTTTTAGAAAAAAAAAGCATAAAAGTGGAAACTTGTAACTTAAAAACAATGCCCATAGGATGCCCCAAAAAATCAATTGTTGTTGGAACAGGCATTGTTGTATTGTATTTACATTAATTATAAAATGTACACCATCTCATGTGCTTTTTACACTTATGCCCATTCTGTGACCACTTCCATTCATTGTGGACAGAGTGATAAAGCAAATCCAACCTAAGCTGTAGAGAACTAGTAAAAGCAATCCTACAAATACAGCACTAAGAAGACAGTTCACAAAGTTTGCTTTCATCGATAAACTTTTCACATAATGTAACAAACAAAAATACTGGCCATGAAAGAAAGGGACATTTTGTAAGTAAAGCTCTTAAGTAGGTGAACTTCGCCATAATACCTTTTTCAGATATTTGTAAATGGAATATTCCCAGTAACTCTTGTGAATTAGTTCTGAACAATCTTTTTTTACTTCAGTTATGTACTCTTGTAATGAAGAAAAAAAAAGAAGAAAAAAAACACATCTTTCATTAATTACTCATGGCACAACTGAAATCATTTAAATAAATAATACAATGCATAGATATACTAACATCGACAAAAAATATTGGAAAATAATGTTCTAATATTGAATCGTGTAATCTCAGTCAGGTTTTTTTAAAAGGATTAAAGTTTTCTGTGTAACCCTTTAACAATAGTTCACATGACTGAGGAATATTGTGTGGATCTACTTCATTATCTCATTAAAAAGGTTGTTAAAATAAACATTTCAACTATTCTACTGAATATTTCAGATCACATGGCATATCATGAAGTTGGTTCAATTATTTGAGCCATTTCCAGGTCCAATAGAGTTTCGTCTAAACACACATCTTTTTCAGTAGCTGTATCGACAAGTCTAAGAGACACAACCCCATTTTCTTCTTTGCCACACACTAGTCCAACTAAATCTTTTTCCTCAGCCATCTGTTTCATTTTCAGTTTAGCACCTTCTGACCAAACCTGTGTTCCTTTTACTGGTTTTATACCTGTAAAAAAAGTTTAACATATATAATTAAATACTGAAATGAGATTATTTTAAACGAACCAGGCACTGCCTGCATAGTGATCACACAGTCTGTAGCCAACTTATAGACACACCAAAATTAACTCCAGCCTCTGGTGATGTGACAATAATAAAATAAAAGAACAGAGTTCAAATGTTCCCCATGTTTCACATATTTTATCTATCCAAGGTACAAGGGCAATAACTAATGCAATGTTACTTCTGTTACAATTAATATTTCCAAGGGGCATAACTCTGTAAAAATATTTGATCAGCACTTATTCTCCAAAGTGTCAAAATCACTGCTGATATAGACCTATGATATAAGTTTCATAAAATTCTGGCAAGAATTGTACATATGATGAGAGTGTTAACAATGCAACTTTCCATAAAATCTATACTTCCAAGGGGCAAAACTCTTTTTAAAATAATTGATAAGCACCAATTTTATAATTTGTCATAGACATTGATGATATAAACATATAATATAAATTTCAGAAAAATCTGGCAAGAATTGTACACATGAGAGCGCTAACAATGCAATTTTCCATATAGTTAATATTTCCAAGGGGAATAACTCTTTTAAAAATAATTGAATAAATGATCTGCACTGATTTTGGAACTCATCAAAGACATTGGTAATATAAACCTATAATATAGGTTTTATAAAATTCTGGCAAGAATTGTACACACGAGAGCACTAACAATGCAATATTCCATTTATTTAATGTTTCCATGGGGCATAACTCTTTCAAAAATAATTGATCTACACTGATTTTCAAACTCTTTTAAGAAATTGCTAATACAAACCTATGATATAAGTCTCATACAAATCAGGCAAGAATTGTAGAAATGAGATCGCTAACGATGAATTTTCCATATAATTAAATTTCAAAGGGACATAACTCTTTCAAAAATAATTAATCGGAACTGATTTTCTAACTCGTCCAAGACATTGCTGATATAAACCTATGATATAAGTTTCATAAATATCTGGCAAGGATTGTACATGTGAGAGTGTAAACTGTAAAGCATAATATTGTACCCCAAGACAATATTTCATGACTATGTCTCATGAAATATTGTCCTCATCTATGAAAAAATGTCCAGAGAAAGACAAATTTCCATCGTGAAATTTTGTCTGTATATACCTGGTAGACAATATTTCACAGATGAATACTATGAAATTTTGTCCTGTTAAAGGGAGGTTATATTTTATGTGTATTGAGACAATATTTCACAGACAGATTGTCATGAAATTTTGTCTCATGAAGGGGAGGTTATCAACATAAATCATGTTGGATAATGAAATCATTAAAGTGTTTTATCTGATTGATAATGACAAAAAAAAAACAAATCATTATTCCAGTTACTCCTGTATCTCCAAAACACTGTCCCCAAAAAAATTGTTAATCTAGTATTTACTAATACTACTATAAGTACATTGAAATTGGAACATAAATAAGTGATTGTCAGTATATTACTTATAATGGCACTCACATTAGACAATTCTTTGATCTACTAACGTATCTATTATAAAGTATCTATGCAAATTTGAAACTAGCTTGTGTTAAAATAAATATCATTTTTAAATATAAAATACTTACTTTACAAAATAATTTCAGTTATAAATATTAAAATGTGTATGCTGCATGCTGAAGTGTACTGTTTTCAATTTTGTAATAATTTGATTAAGAAATATTTTCATGGAACAGTATTTCACAATGAAATATTGTCATGGACAGAATTTCACAGTGAAATATTGTCCAAAAGGAGGTGACAAAATTTCATGGACAGGACAGGGACATTATTTCATAATGAAATATTGTCCTGGACTGTTTTTCATTATGAAATAGCGTCCGTGGACAATATTTTCTATGAAATTTGGTCCGACTGACAATATTTTATGGGGGACAATATTTTATTTTACAAGAGTGAGGGACAATAATCTACTACGGTCAACCTTGAGCCATATACTGTGATTTCATTACTTTTGGTGGGATACCAATTGTTCATGGATTTTATGGGAATAGGTAAATCTTGAATATAAATGTTCAACGAATTACAAATTTTATATATGCTTGTATGCAGACTTTGGCTAAACCGGGACATCAAATATCCACAGCAGTTTACATTCCACAATTTGTACCCACGTAAATAAATGAATCAACAGTAGTAGAGAAACCTGTCTTTTGTTGAGGAATGTATGTTAACCTCTAGATGTCTTTTGAATATTTACTGTGAGCTGCTGTCTAACTGAAATCTACCTTTTACATCTCGTTTCCTTCATACTATAGGTGTGGGCAATGAAACTTCTTCCATTAATTAGTATCATAGGATGGTTATATGCTCATAAACATCTACCCTATGCATGTCCCTTTGTAGTAATCAAATTTCTTCTGTCTACCTAGATGCACTGCACTTTGCAGTTTGTTTTTTTTTATTGTATATTTTACCTTTACAACATATGGTGTATGTTGTGTGCACATATATCATTATTTTGTATATTCTAAATATTTGATTTCTTTCAGAACTGTATTTTCAAAGACTAGCTGAAAAAGCAGATAGAAATGTGGTATTGCACAGTTATTCTTAAAATATCTACAACCTCCATACTTTGTGATGCTATAAAACAACCAATCAAATGAATTTCTGCTCTATTTACGGTCAATTGACAGTAAAAATATAACAATTGTAGCCATTGTATGAGGTCAATACTAGGATATCAATCTAAAGAAGTATACTGACTCATACCTGTCAACTGACCCGGATCCTGCGGGTGTGACCCGAGATTTTCACAATTCTGAGGGGTCACCTGAAACACCCGCCAGGTGACCAAATAACCCGGGAATTAGGAAAATAACCCGTTTTTACCCGGATTCCTAAGCCTTCCTAATTACTTTTTTCATCTATACCTCCTTTAATTGTTTAACTTTATTTTATTATACTCTAATATCAACCTCTTATATTTTTTGCTGTTTAAAAGCTGCACAAATGTATGCAAGGAAAACACAAATTGGCACATTGTATGCCATGGACTGAATATGAACAGGAATAAAGGTAATGTAACACAAATCTATCAATGGCCTCCAAGTGCAATGAAATAATAAAAAGTACAATTTTAAATTACTTAACCATGTGGACATGTTTTGGAAACTTTGATATAAATTATAAGAAAAATGTCCCCTAAATACTGAAATTCATCTTGAAAAAGTTCGTACACATTATGACCTGAGATTTCATTCTTCTATGCAGGTCATCACCTGCATTTTCATTGTCATAGGTTGACAGATATGTTGACCTCAGACTTCGTCCTCAGTCGATATACTTCTATCAGGTTGAAATATCATTGTATTGACCTCATGCAAAGGCTTTAATTGATTAATAACTCAGTATGGCTTTCTAAATCACTTTGTTCATTGTTGATTGTCGATCATTTTTGCAGAGGAGTCAAGTGCTAGTGGTATAGAACCACTAATTCAGGCCCGGTCGGAAAGAACATACAAGAAAGTAGTACATATTTTAAACAAAATAGTTCCTACGCATAGCTGTATCTTTGTCAATAGTGGGAATATTTGGGTAGTTTTAGTATCAAATGAAAGCTTGGGGACTTGGGATCACTGTAGAACCCTTGTTGAAAGTTTTATTTGAATAATAAAGAAGTATATGAAATTTTAATAGGAGGGCTCATTTGGTCTGTTGTTCAGATCAGAAGTTCCTGTTTTTGTACTATCAAACTTCCGGGAACCAGTAAGCTCTAATATGCAATTAAAGGTATGTTGATTTTTTCAGCACAAGTCAGCATAAGGTACAGTTTTGACATGAAATAACTGCCACTTTATTTGAACTTAAGACAAAGTAGCCATTTATGCTTGAAATTGCAGAATTTAACATAGAAAGCAATGGGGCTATGAATTAGTGGTTTTATACCTAGTGGTAAGCGTGGTTAGTTCTACTGTCCAATATTACAGGTTCTAAATGGTGTGGTCAGTTGTACTGTCCAATATATCAGGTTATTCTTATTATCCATTCTATGCATTAATGTTAATGAAAATAAAGTGCAAACCTTACCATGTAATTTACATTTAAACGCTTGAAATGGTAACTTCCAAAACCTCCATGGTAACGGTTTAATTTCTTCTACTGTCATAGCATTATATTCTCCAAAATCAACAATATACACAGAAACCTGTTTCACGAATAAATAAATTTGTTTATAGCATAATGATAATAAAGATTAAATATCACAAAAGAAACATGTTAATTTTCACATTCTGTATGTGGCTGTCCCAAGCCTGTAATTCACTGGTTATTGTTTGTTGCTGTATATCATATTTGTACATCAGGCCTTAAGTTTTCTTGTTTGAATAGTTTTACATCTGTCATTTCTTGCTTTAATAGCTTGTAATGCAGTAGTGACCTATGGATGCTAACTTCTGTGTCATTTGGTCTCTGTTGGAGAGTGGTTTCATTGGCAATCATATCACATCTAGAGGTTTCAATCATATCACATCTAGAGATTTCAATCATACCACATCTAGAGGTTTCAAACAATTACACATCTTTAGTTATCTTTGAATCGTTGATCTGAGCTTCATATCATTTTTACAAAAAATTTTTCTAACATATGGCAAGCTGAAAATGATATATGCATTAGTACTATATATAGCTAGTAGACCACAATATGATGGACCCTCATTTAAACTTACCAATCCAGGACCTACTCTCTTATTTATCAGCACTCTGTACCAGGCCCCTCCTTGATGACCTGCATATAAATGACCTACTTTGATTTCCTTTTGTTGTAATATCTGCAAAAACAATTGTACACTTAAAATCTGTTGTCTGCCTAGAGAATAATAGGTATGCAAATTTGTAAGCACAGAAATAATATGCTTATCTAATAATGTTTCAATTCATAATACTGTAAATTCAGAAATTATTGCGATGTTTTTATTATTGCGAAAAATGCGACAGGGTAATAATCGCAATAATTTAAACTCGCATTTTGACATTTTCTATATGAATTAAACAGGATTTTTCTCAATATCGCAAAAATAAAAATCGCATTTTAGTCTAAAATAACAAAATCGCAAAAATAAATGCACGCAATAATTTCTGAATTTACAGTATAGGGTTTTGGCTAATATAGCAAGTAAAACTGTGAGCTATTGCTCACCTATGATACCCCAGCTTTAAGAAATCGGTAAACAGGAAGTTGAGAATATGAATCTGAAACTGCATTTCACTGTATAGCATGTTCAAATGAAGATTGATAACAAATTTCCGGAAGCTCTGATTTGTACCTTAGTTCCTCAGAAAAATGCAATGGAATTTCATGGGAGGGATCAACATACTGACAGACAGACAAAGGTAAACAGTATAGCCCTCCTTTGGACCAATGGTATAAAAATGAGATGTGGTAGGCCCTCCATTCAGAGAACCATCCTACATGGAACAAAGACCGAGGATATTAACAATAATTATTACAAGTCAATTTTTAATTTCTTACTTAGAGATATATTTTTTTTCAATTCAGGCTTTGATTCGAGTTTGTAGTAACCCATGGCTACCTCTTTGTCAATTACCTTGTCTAAGACTTCATTAAAGACCAGGTCAATTTATCTCTAGAGCTAATAACTAATAATTAACATAAAATATATTTCAATTTTAATACAATAAGATGTTTCTTAGCTACTTTTTGATTGGTTAATAATGTCAACTGTCATTTCTAGGTTGACATTCAGTCACTGGCAAAAACGTAACACTAATCGCAGTGCAGGTTTATGGGATATTTCAATTATTTTATTTTGAAAATTTTACAAATATTGCATTAAAAAAGAAATACCAGTTGTGTATTTTATGACTTGCAGCTGCAGACCTGCCAACTATCCCGATTTATAGGGGATATCCCAAAGGAGAGGTGTTGGCCTGAATTTTGAAATTCTTTTATATATACTCTGAACACCTCAAAACAGGCATTTAAATGAGTTAAAATGGTATTTAAGCACAAACATACTCATTCAAACCATATAGTAGTAGATTAAAAACACTTCAGACAAAAAAAGAGGAGTATTATGTCCTCTTGCCCTTAAAATCCCCAATTGAGATTTTGAAAAGTTGGCAGGTATGCAGCTGTCCAGTGGAGATTCAACACTCTAAAATATCTGTTTTACTGGCTCTGCTCTAGGTTATCAGTAAAACTGCATTTCTGACAGCCAAATCCTCAATTAAAGGCTGCAACTCTTTTACAGCTATGCCTCAACTCTAATTATAATCCATCTTACCCTATCTATACAATGTAGATTAAAATATTCTATACAATCTTTCAACAACTGGTCCAAATCTGCCATGGATCCATACGGGATACACTGTAATAATAAACAGACTAGAATTAATATGCTTATTGTAATATTTTCAAAAACATAATTCATTATTACAATATTTTCTTTGTATGTTATTTTCTATTTACTTTAACATGTTTAAAGGGCTATCGGACTGAGTACTGATGCAACTTGTATGTTATTTTCTATTTACTTTAACATGTTTAACGGGCTATTGGACTGAGTGCTGATGCAACTTGTATGTTATTTTCTATTTACTTTAACATGTTTAACGGGCTATTGGACTGAGTGCTGATGTAACTTGTATGTTATTTTCTATTTACTTTAACATGTTTAACGAGCTATCAGACTGAGTACTGATGCAACTTGTATGTTATTTTCTATTTACTTTAACATGTTTAACGGGCTATTGGACTGAGTGCTGATGCAACTTGTATGTTATTTTCTATTTACTTTAACATGTTTAACGGGCTATTGGACTGAGTGCTGATGTAACTTGTATGTTATTTTCTATTTACTTTAACATGTTTAACCTGCTATCGGACTGAGTGCTGATGCAACTTGTATGCTATTTTCTATTTACTTTAACATGTTTAACGGGCTATTGGACTGAGTGCTGATGCAACTTGTATGTTATTTTCTATTTACTTTAACATGTTTGACCGTTGTTTTTTCCGTTTGAGTGGTTTTGCACTAGTGATTTTTTGGGGCCCTTTGTAGCTTGCTGTTTGGTGTGAGCCAATGCTCCATGTTGAAGGCCGTACCTTGACCTATAATGGTTTACTTTTATAAATTGTAACTTGGATGGAGAGTTGTCTCATTGGCACTCATACCACATCTTCCTATAGCTATTAACGGGCTATCAGACTGAGTGCTGATGCAACTTGTATGCTATTTTCTATTTACTTTAACATGTTTAACGTGCTATCGGACTGAGTGCTGATGAAACTTGTATGCTATTTTCTATTTACTTTAACATGTTTAACGAGCTATCGGACTGAGTGCTGATGAAACTTGTATGCTATTTTCTATTTACTTTAACATGTTTAACGAGCTATCAGACTGAGTACTGATGCAACTTGTATGTTATTTTCTATTTACTATAACATGTTTAACGAGCTATCAGACTGAGTACATACTGATGCAACTTATATGTTATTTTCTATTTACTTTAACATGTTTAATGGGCTATCAGACTGAGAACTGATGAAACTTGTATGTTATTTTCTATTTACTTTAACATGTTTAATGGGCTATCAGACTGAGTACTGATGCAACTTGTATGTTATTTTCTATTTACTTTAACATGTTTAACGGGCTATCAGACTGAGTACTGATGCAACTTGTATGTTATTTTCTATTTACTTTAAACATGTTTAATGAGCTATCAGACTGAGTACTGATGCAACTTGTATGTTATTTTCTATTTACTTTAACATGTTTAACGAGCTATCAGACTGAGTACTGATGCAACTTGTATGTTATTTTCTATATACTTTAACATGTTTAATGGGCTATCAGACTGAGTACTGATGAAACTTGTATGTTATTTTCTATTTACTTTAACATGTTTAATGGGCTATCAGGCTGAGTACTGATGCAACTTGTATGTTATTTTCTATTTACTTTAACATGTTTAATGGGCTATCAGGCTGAGTACTGATGCAACTTGTATGTTATTTTCTATTTACTTTAACATGTTTAATGGGCTATCAGGCTGAGTACTGATGCAACTTGTATGTTATTTTCTATTTACTTTAACATGTTTAATGGGCTATCAGACTGAGTACTGATGCAACTTGTATGTTATTTTCTATTTACTTTAACATGTTTAACGAGCTATCAGACTGAGAACTGATGCAACTTGTATGTCATTTTCTATTTACTTTAACATGTTTAACGGGCTATCAGACTGAGTACTGATGCAACTTGTATGTTATTTTCTATTTACTTTAACATGTTTAACGAGCTATCAGACTGAGTACTGATGCAACTTGTATGTTATTTTCTATTTACTTTAACATGTTTAACGAGCTATCAGACTGAGTACTGATGCAACTTGTATGTTATTTTCTATTTTCTTTAACATGTTTAACGAGCTATCAGACTGAGTACTGATGAAACTTGTATGTTATTTTCTATTTACTTTAACATGTTTAATGGGCTATCAGGCTGAGTACTGATGCAACTTGTATGTTATTTTCTATTTACTTTAACATGTTTAATGGGCTATCAGGCTGAGTACTGATGCAACTTGTATGTTATTTTCTATTTACTTTAACATGTTTAATGGGCTATCAGACTGAGTACTGATGCAACTTGTATGTTATTTTCTATTTACTTTAACATGTTTAACGAGCTATCAGACTGAGTACTGATGCAACTTGTATGTTATTTTCTATTTACTTTAACATGTTTAATGGGCTATCAGACTGAGTACTGATGAAACTTGTATGTTATTTTCTATTTACTTTAACATGTTTAACGGGCTATCAGACTGAGTACTGATGCAACTTGTATGTTATTTTCTATTTACTTTAACATGTTTAATGAGCTATCGGACTGAGTGCTGATGAAACTTGTATGTTTTTTTTTAACCAAAAATGACAAAAAAGGAGATAGAATGTATTTGATAATGATACAAAAAGTAAAATCACAAAAATACTGAAAATTCAAAAAGGAAAGTCCCCAATCAAATGGCAAAATCAAAAAAACTAACACAACTGTCATATTCCTGACTTGGTACAGGCATTTTCTTATGTAGAAAATGGTGGATTGAACCTGGTTTTATAGCTAGCTAAACCTCTCACTTGTATGACAGTCGCATCAAATACCATTATATTGACAATGATGCGTGAACAAAACAAACAGACACAATAGGTAAAAATGTCAAAAATAGGGGTACAGCAGTCAACATTGTGTTATCATCTTAATCACTATAAAAACAAACAAATGTAACGAAGAAGCACAAAAAGGCATACATCAAATTTAAAATCCTCATTTTGCTTATATTATACGATTTTATTTATTTATGCTAAATCCATCCATAAAGGATGGAAGGTTTTAAGTACTGGCGTAAAATCGCGCGTTTGAAATTCGCACAGGTAGACATAAAATAATTTTTTCGTTCAAAGTATGAGGGGATACATAAATACAGAGTCACGTAAAATGGATTTAACAAAAAACAGACTTAACAGTAAAAGTAATATTAATAAATAAAATAAAATAATTGTGTGGTACAAAGTATGACGATATACATAAGTACAGAGTTACAAAGTCTGAGTAGGAGCTGCAAGCTCTTGAATACCGAATAAGTTGGGAAATGTATATACCATATGCATGTGAAGTTGGTATATTGCTAAGGTGGGGGAAATTGATAATTTCAAAATTAAAATCGTCTCGTTTGTCATAGATTCTGGTACTGAGATGACTGTGTATGTCAAATTCGAGGTTTAAGTCTAAAAATGAGGCGGAGGAAGCCGTCTGTTGTTTCTTTAATTTCTAGTTCTGGTGGACAAGATATCCACCAGAGACAAAAGATGAGAATGTAAAAAACTACAGGGCACTGGATAGCCTTCTTCAATGAGCAAAATATACCCTATAGTAAGTTATAAAAGGTCCATGCATGACAAAAGGTGAAATAATTTAGAAAATAAATGGAAAATGTGTCCATGGGACACAAATGATGCCCCCTCTTACATAGAACGTTATAAAGGCACATCTCAAGAAAGGTAAAAGTGATGCAACCCAAATTCGAATTTTGATCTGAGTTTTGAGGTAATAAGCATTGTGTTTAACAGTGGCGTAGCTACCGGTAGGTAATTTTTACGTGTACGCCCGGTCCAGGTCATATCACCTGCTAGTAGTGGGTTCGATGGGGTTATCGAGAATAAGATTTCATCATTCATTTAAAACTCATCAATAGCAACATACGTTAGAATCTAAATGGTTTATTTTTTATGTCTAATTTATGCATTGCGTTAATTTTGAATCTAATAGTCAATAATTACATTACATGTATGTTTCACTATAATACGTTATTTTGATTGGCTAACAGCAATCTTTCGTCATTCTGAAATTAGCCTTCCTTTGAAAATGAAATATAACATTCATGAGTACACGAGCTCCACAATAAAGTGCACAGGTAAATGAAAGAAAAACTTGATAGAAAAATTGTTTTCATGATCCTAGCAAAAAATGTAAGTATAAGCATTGAATGCTTCTTTTAGTAATTTTATAAGTTTGTAAAAGCATTGACCTTGGGCACATTTTTAGAATGAAGCGCTTCTGCGCTTCATACAAAATGTACTTTGGTTAAAGCTTTTACACCCCCATAAATTTACAAAAAAAAAGTATTCACTTCTTAATTGGTTTCAGAGAAAATGTCCAAACCAGTTACTTTCAAATTTGTTTCAAAAGGAAACGTGGGGTAAAGCAATCAATCGACCAAAAAAACCTTTTTATATGCAAAAAGTAAAATCACAAAAATACCGAACTCTGAGGAAAATTCAAAACGGAAAGTCCCTAATCAAATGGCAAAATCAAAAGCTCAAACACATCAAACCAATGGAAGCAATAATGAAAATGAAATAATTAATTTTCTTAGACGTTAAGCAGTGTTCTCCATTTTTCACTAAGGTAAGGTGGGTGTTTTGAAAAAAATCACTTGCAACCAGGTGTTTTTTTTTTTGTTTTAACATTTCCAACCGGGTTTTTTACTGTTAGAGGGGGTCACAAAAAGAAGGATTAGTATTGTATTCACATTTAATGAAATTGAACTGTTAGCCATTCATTTGACAAATTAGTTTTGCGGATCTCGGATAGCAGATATGGCTTTTGTAGGACTCCCTCCTCCTGCATATGCATAGCTTATCAATCCAAGTTTCTGTCCTGTTCCTCGCTTTAGTGCTGTATTTTAAAAGAGCAGTAATATCCTCCTTCTGTGACGATTAGCCATTTAAAGTCACATTCATATTTATTAAATGAGGGGTAACCTCTCAATGTAATGACTATCTCTTTTATGAGGG